GATTCTATTTTTTTTTTCTATCGTTTCGGGGGGTCTGCAGTAATTTGGATAAACTCAAAAATACCCTATTAGGTCTTCATTAACAAGCCCTATAAATTAATCCTGTATACAAATAACACGCATATATTACATTTATGTTGTTATATTACATTTATGTTGTTGGGTAGGAAATTAATTATAGTATTGATGTCATGTAACTGTTACTTACAATTAGGTACTTTACAATACTCATACAGAAACCGACTCGATGCTTTTGCTTATTGGAGGGAACCGAGGGAAAATTAAGTTACGTATGGCCACCCCACCCTTTTTCAGATAATCACAGGTTATGACTGATTAAAATTACGTTACTTATGTCTCGAGGATGTTATTTGTCACCCACAAGTAGCACAAGTTAAATTACACTACTAAGGGCACACCGTGTAATATTGTAATGAGTGATCCGAAAGTGATTGTTACAGCAATAGAACTTCCGACATACGATCGTACGGATGAATTTAGCACAATTGCCAATCAACGGTTGCGCTGATAACGCATTAATATATTCTTTGTTTATACATTTTCTTGAAAGAAGATTTTAATCACTACGTTTAACGACGTGATCGGATATTTTGACAAAAGCTACGAGAGAAAGAGAGAGAGAGAGAGAGATTTTGATTGATTAATCTTTATTAGCTTTCTCAGCTATTTTTAATATACATTAATTTACATTTTTTATAATATACTCTTTCAACATTCGTTTAACGGCTCTCTATTATCTCACAACTCTTTATATCTTGAGAGAGAGAGAGAGAGAGGGAGAGAGAGAGAGAGAGAAAGATGCAGAAAGGGGGGGGATCTCGCCATATTTGTGATTCTTCGTTAAAATATATCTCGACAGTTTTTTTTTCACTAGATGGTAATTCCAAATCATTGCTGTCTGCAATGATAAATAAGAGGCTGTAAACAACCCTCCATTACGTTGTGAGATAAAATATACAAATTTTATATGACTCTTTTTCTCTCAAATCGAAACATTTATCTTTTTGTGTGATCGCGAAATATATAATTAATCTCTCCTATTAAAATATATTTACATTATTACATTATCTCGCAGTATTGTGCGTAATAGTGATAAGACTAATATACGGTTTGCTAGGAAGTTCAAACAGTTGACGGTAAAGTTTTCTTCATTTATCTTAACTTTGATACATAGAAGCGACACGTGTTGCGTCTTATATGATCAACGAACTCGAAGAAGGGTCGATCTCCTCTCACGCCCTACGTTGTCCGATAAAATTATAGAGTGTCATTCGTCACAACGAATAAAAACTTACATTACAAGCACAATATAATGGCCTGGAAAGAATGCGGAAGGGATCGTGGTAAATTGTTCATGCGAAAGCTATCAGTTTTTCCGTCATCCATCTCTTGTTCGCACGTGCATGTATGCGATCAATGAGCCCGAAATTTCTACGTGTCGCGATTCGCGCGATAAAAACACTTTTGTCAAATCATCAGATCGTATCAAGAAAATAGAGCAACGTCTATAATTTGCTTTTATTTCAGCGAAATAAGTGAACGGAGTGTTTATTTGCCGGAAGTTGCATTTATGGTATCTTTATAGGATGTTCCGGTCTCTTTTATCACATTGTCATTTAACATAACTCTCTAACAATAAGTTAATAGTACTTGGATAAATAACGTATGAAATTAAAACTTCTCTTGCAATCTGAGGTAAAAAGGACAAATAAATAATTAAATCCTGTTCCACAGTTAATATAAAATAAACTTTATTGTAATTAAATTTTTATTTTTGTATTATTGCGAAGATATATAATGTGTCGGAGACTAAAGATTAAATAATAACTCTTACAAACACATTTTCCTTAAAAAATACTTAATTTAAAATTCGTTATTAAAGTGTAATGCAGAAAAGGTGGAAATAAGAAAAACTTCGAATAAGAAACATACAGAAAAAGCTGCTAAATATTAATAAAAAGAAAACTTATGATTTCTTTATGTATATCTAATAAAAAATGCTTTCATTTCATATTTCTTTTTCAAAACAGATGTTTTCGCTTCTTATCCTTTGCTAACAGCGTTTTATTTAATTTTATTTTTATGTAAATGGGTCATTTGAAATTACCTATAATAAATATAACGCGAATTGAATCCACCTGAAACAGGCGTATCTCGATGGGAACTAGACTGCTGCTGTCGCTTTAGCGAGGAAATGTGAACGATTGCGAAACTTCCTTAAGCTTGTAACACGTAATAATGTATTTAATTTGTTTGCCAACTTAATTTCACGAGGAAAAGGAGGCTTTTTGGGGCAATTATGTTATATTTATACACTCTACTTAATCCGATCAAGATTAGAATTTTGTTTTTATATTCGGTCCCTGCATTGAAGAGAGAAGTATTTTTTTAGGGAAATTTAATATTTTACGCCCACAATCATTATAATTTACATTTTTTTAATAATTTAGTCGTTATCTTGAATTTTATATAAAATTATGTATGTAATCTATTATCATAAATTATAAAGGAAAAAGTGCGATAAAATGGACCCATAAGAAAAACCATTACACTTGTATTTGAAACAAACGTTTAACATTTTCCATAAATTTTTCTCCCTCTCTTTTCTCAGTGTCTCTTTATTTGTTGTTATTTAACAAAATAGGATATTGAATTTTAAATTTATAAAAATTTTATTTTAACTTTTTGTAAAATTTAATTGTAATTGATTTTACTCAGTAGCAAAGAGATTATTTCACAGGATAAAATGAACTAAAAAAATACATTAATTAAGTTCTTGGAAATCGAAACTTTGTATTATAAATAAAGTATTTTCCAATAGAAACACACAAATTGTAATTTAATATTCTAATACATAAAAAATCATAAAATAAAAAAATTACGTTCCTATTAAATTACATATTTAAAAATTTGATAACTTTTAATGGTTTCTTTATGGCTTCTCAATATTTTCAAATAACTCAATAAAAAATGATAACTTGTAATAAGTAAACAGTAAAATTTCCAAAGTTATTGAAATTTAGTTTTCTTTTCTTACTGTAGCTAAGTCAGTAAATGTATATACGATATAAACTTTGAAAATAAAATGTAATACACGTATAATATAGAGGAAAAGCCCCTATTATAAGATAAGTTACTAATATAAGATAGTAGGGTTTCTGCTAAATTAATAGGCATCACCTGGTAGTTCCACCATGAATTTATTACCCTTGGAGTTCACTCCAATCTGTTTAGTGGAAAATTGATTGTTAGATCGTGTAATCCTTGTGAAAAAAGATTTGCGATTGAATTTGGACGTTCAAAACTATCACTCATTAGAATCCTATTTCACAATAGAGGACTTTCTTTCTTCTATATAATATAATACAATAACTTCTATATAATATAATATAATAAACGAAGAATCTAGAAAATTGAGATATTTACAAGTATGTGATTACTTATGTATCTTTATTTAGAAATTAAATCTAATGGATATGTAGGATGCAACATAATATTTGAGGTTTATTTCGAGGATCGATTCAAGAGTAGAACACAATAAAAAAATTTATATATATGTACATCCGGTTCGATCTTATGTCCGAGTTTTAGTGAGTTTCTTTTATGGAAACCCTCATTTGTATAAGCTGGGAGCATAGACTTGCATAACGCATAGCACATAACGCATAACGCATAATGCATAACAATAAACCGTGGAAATGGAAATATAGGATTCTGATTGGTTTATTCCTTTATGCGTTATTCAAACGTATTCTCGGTTATAGTTTCACAAAAGATATTTAAAATGATCATCTCGCATCTCAATGCATCAAAGTCATATATTAAGTGTATACATGTATATTTACAATTTTTTAATTAGAATAACTCGTCAGCACTTTAAATGCTCTACTGTAAACGTCTAATACACCAGTACTCTTATTAAGAAGACGAACTCGTCTTGTGTCTATGATACATAAAACGTTATGAAATAGTATTTACAGAATAACATAACGTAAGATATGTGGCGTTCTTTGAATAATAGAATGAAATTAGATATATTAAATTACATATATCAGTCTATTAAATATTATAAATCACTGAAACATAAAACTCGGACAGGAGCGAATCAAATATATGTTTACATAAAAATTTTTCATTGTTTACTTCTGAAACCATTTTTCAAGTAGGTCCGACATATTATGTGTGTTACACTCTGTATATAACAAATAACGGTAATTATTTCTAAATATCCTTTGTCCAAATATTTCGATTATTTTATGTAATATTATTGTATAATATTAATATTATAATTTAATATTATTTAATATTTAATATTATTCAATAATATGTTAATATTATTTTTGTTTATTATCTCGATTTTCCTGTTATATATTATAGTTATGCTTTGTATATTTATTATATTTAAGCATATATAAAATAAAGTATGCGCGTATATTAGCCTTGTTTTAATTTTTACTAGGTTTATTTGAACCTTTTTAATTAAATTATTTAATATTATGAAAAATACTACTTGTTATATGGTTAATGCATAAATTTAAGATCCAATAGCTACACAATGCAATTAATACTTAATAATTAATTGCAGTGTTGCACAATACACGTTACATTTATCGATTGATTTACGAAAGATGCAATACACATATAATGTAAATAGTGCCTGATAACAACATAATGCTCGTGTTAATTAAACAAGAAATATAATATCTTTAATTGTAACAGAATATTTTAATAGAATAATGTTTAATAGAATACTTTAATATTTTATTAAAGTATTGTATTAATATTCTATTAAAGTATTCATATATAAAACTTAAATATATACAAAACGTAAATAGTAACAAGAAAATGAGAATTTACAAACAATTGATATGCAATTTAATTAAAAAATTAATTGTTTTTTCGCATTGAAATGATAGGTATATATTGCATATATAATTCACATACACGTACGTGCAATACATGTAACATGAAACACATACCCGCACGAAGTTTTCCTCTTCATTTATAGAAGTGTCTTTTGGTTTATCTTAGGGCCGATTGTGCAACATGATAAATGTGATATTACGATTTCTCACAATCGTTGTGCGACACAACGTCGCGGCGTCGATGGGACGATAGTCGGAGACAGACTGAAAGATTGTCATGTACTATACAATCCAGTCCTTTTGAAATTTACCTACGCGCAGGCTCGATGCGACAGACGCAGAAGTCCTGCGCTGGAGACCGTTCTGACGTACACGAAACAAAAAGAGAGTGGAGAGAGGATGGACTGATAACGCGTATCTTCAATATCGATACGCGCGTAGATGATGCGGGGGATTAAAATGCATCCTACGCGCAAATTCGTTCGCGTAAGGCCCGCGGATGCTGGACTCCGAGGATGCAATATTAATCGTGTTATCGCACTTTAAACTAATGATTGCGCTGGATATAAACCAGGCTTTTTCGTGTTACTTCATTGTATTATTTTTTTAAAGAAGCGATTCGGCTCTCGAGAAACACATCCAGATGTCTATGTAGCTTTCAAGTAGCTAGTTGAAAATTATTTCGTGAAGAACATATGTTTTAAAATTCTAACTCTTTATTTAACCTCGAATGAAAGATTACACAGTTGAAAAATTTATGCTTTTTTCTTGTTAAAAAATGTGCCCGTTGAAATGTTTGGGTTAAACATTTAACACATTCAAGTGTTAATTCGACACTAAAACTACCACGGCCGGTCAAACGACCGAGCTCGGTAGAAATAGGTACATGTACATTGTTGGTAAGTTTAGTGTTAAATATTATTATCTCTTTCAATAAGGATATGTTATTAACACCAACTGTAAGTCATCCGAGGTTCAGTTGTGAGTCACTGATAAAGTAGCGATGAAAAGTGATTGCGAATGTTCGAAAATATGATTAAGCATGTCTTATTGATGCGGATTTGAGATGTACTTTGAAAGTACACGACAAACGACGTTCGTTCGAAGAAAAGTCCACTTCCTTTCTTGTTACGCTATTCTTGTTCATCGTATTGAAAGCCTTAGGCACCGTTGGTTAATTCCTTTCGCCAGGAGGATGTAAGGAAGGAAGGAAGGAATTGTCGCGTGACTTGGCACTAATGATCGGGTTTAAGCTCGGACTAAGTGAAGAGCGAGATAACTTCTCCGCTTCCACGTGTGTCTTCCCTATCTATTCGTTTCCTGATACATCTCAGAAATGTTTGGCGAAATAGAACAGAACTTGGCGAGTTAGTGCAAGTTACGCTAATCGATATGCTGAATTTCTAATGATTGTTAATTACAGTTTATAATTTATATAAATCATTTATTTCACACCTTACAGCGAAGAAAGGACAATCATGTCCCTACTCACTCATCCATCCACATATCCTTACATTATGCATTAAACTGACTACGTATATGTACGTCTTCTAACTTACACGTATCAATACTTCTTCCTCTTACATTATTGCATTTCATATTGTATTAATAATTTCTATTTCATTCTCCTCCTCTTCCTCGTCCCTTATCTCCTTCTTTCTCTTTTCTACATCGTTTTTTCTTCTCTCCGCAACCTTTTTAGAATTTATCTTTTTTCTACATCTTAATTCATTATTTTTATCTCTACCTAATTTACTGAATCAATTTGATATATAAAATATTACGATGTCATGAGACCTCAATTTCTTAGCCTTGGTACAGCGGGTTCCGGGTTACTTATGACCTAGAGGTAAAAAAATATATACGTTCTTCTTTCCTTTCAAATATATTGGTATCATAAGAAAGTGTGCTAGCAACATTACGAACGCCACTTCCCAGCGATACAAGATTAATACCAGCAATATAGTGAAGTTCGCGGCGGTTTGGCAAAGTAAGCATGACGAGAAGATGTCGCGCGTAAAACCTAATCAAACGCTACGATAGTGCCTCTGGGGATGAAATCTCTCTCTCTCAGAAGTAAGATTGGGACTCCGACGTAGGCGTATGTAATCCAGATTGACCAAGGGCGAGCGTAATTCACGTTATGCTTAGCTGGTCGTCTTTTCATGTACGGTATCTATTTCTGGGTTTTAGTGTTTCCTCTTTATATTTCGTCGGTTTTCGTCGAGCAACATGGATAACACGTATACCTTGGATATCAGCACGGCGTGCGGTTATTCGCTGCCCTTTTTTTCATTACACCAGAAATTATTACGCCCCGCCAAGCTAGGACACGCTATTTATAACACAAGATCACACATCATAAATATTATATCTTCGCTATTTCGTCTAAATTTTTCGGTAAATAGTTTTCTCTAATTTGTACAATGAATTAAAGTAGTTGTACAATATACAGCAAAAAGTTATTTTTAATCTATAAAATAAAGATATAAAATTATTTTTTGTATCTTTGACAGTACATTTGAAATCTCCAGTTTCAAAATCGGTAGATTCGCAACTTTCCAGCTGGATATCGAACTCGCATATACTGATATTTTATTTTGTTACGTCAATGTGATTTTTATTTAAATATTTTATATAGTATGACTTGTTTTTGTGCGTTTAATCTAAACTTAAAAATCATAAAGTAGCGGTATAAAAAAAATTTTTCTTTTCTATTCTCTTTGTTAGTTCATTGGGATATCATATGAGGATATGTAGGCAAAAAATTTGTGGGGAACTGAAGAATAGTTTTATTATCACAGGATCATATCGCTTCAACGCGATGTATAATAATCGATCATTGTCACGGAAGACATTTGGTTTGTTTTATAAGAGAGCCCGCAAAACTAATGCTTTCCGAGATTTGGTGTTTGATATGCAATGCCATAATGTGCTTGCTAATACGGTGTTTGTAATGACACCCGCAACAAATCGGCGCTGATATACAACGCGATAGTACAAGGCAATTCCGACCTTTTCTTTCGATCCAGGCAAATTTGAATTTTGACGCATCAAGTTCCGTGGGAAGTTTTATCGGTATTCTTGATTTCACAACCCCGTTTATCTACAGATTGCCTCACATATCTTGTGGTCGAATTAACACAAAATAATTAGCCCGGACGAATTCGTATGATTGCCCACTATTTACTTATTTCCCTTACTTTATTACCTTCGCAAGATTGCGACGATGTAAATTCTACGAAACATATGCAGAAAGAAACATAATCTTGCCAAAAACCATTCCAAATATTACATTTATTAAATAATGTAATTATGCAATAAATGATATAATATAGTAACAGTTTACTTGGTGTTTACTGGGTTATTTATTAAGGAGTTTGGTCATCTTGAAAGCTCGAAAATAAGATTACTTTTTTGGAGCAGATTAATTTTTTCAACGAATTGATAAAAGCAGTATAACATTAATTAAATATGTTGGACAGATCATAATTTACCCTTTCGCGACTGTAGGGGCACATAGATATGTCCCAGCGAATTAATAATTCCATTCCGAACAAATTTTGTGTCATAAATTCTCGTGGTTTTTTGTTAATTAAAAAAATTTTATTTCTTTTTTGCATCTCTACGAAGGGTATAGACATTCATTTACAAGTGTTTTTAGTTTATTGTAGAAGTGAACTGGACAGAGAGCTCTCGAGTTATCAAACCAACAAACTGCAAACTAGTTAAAAAACAAGTTTCGACAGGTTAAATTTTGAAACGTGTATATTAAATGTGGACACATACCGTTATTCGACAATACCTTCATCATATATTGATCCTGCTACTTCTGTTATTGAATTATCGTAAGTCTATTGTTGCGTTGTATTCGACCTTTTTTTGATTCGCTCTACGCTTGTTTTTCGGCAAGACACAAGTGAATTTCGCCTTTCTCTTTTAATATATTTTTGCTAATTGATTTCATTTTATCTTGTTATTCTCTCTTATCGTTCCAGGACTTTAAACGAGAGTTCCCTAAAGGAATCGGGCGTGGTACCGATGCCAGAATATTCAGATCCTTATCATAAAAGGTGAGAATAGGCGGAAGAAAATTTAATTTAATCAATTAAATTTAAATTTAAAAAGAAAAATTTCAAACGGTTAGATTATATTCATTAATAATCTGTAAAATTTATAAATTACGAAATCATGTGCATCACTACACTTCCTTCTATAATTCTTGGTATTCTTTTTATAATAATTGATAATCTTTTTTTTGTACGTAGACCGATGACAATGGGCGAGATTGGCTGCTTTCTCAGCCATTACTTTGTATGGCAGAAGGTAGAGATACTCTATGAAATACTCTTAAATAGAAAATAAGTCGTTTGTTATTGATGAAATATACATATATTAGGTACTGGAACATGGATACAAAAGCATAATGGTGTTGGAAGATGACGTTCGCTTTGAACCGTTTTTCCGGCAGAAAGTCGATTACGTTTTAGCGGAATTGTCTGATCTTGGAATCGAGTGGGATTTGATGTAAGTCCTTTGACAAAATTTATTATTTTCTAAATACTTTATCGTACTGCTTCATAATTCGATTGTTTCTTGGTTAGCTATTTGCGATTTTACTATTTATCTTACTTAGAGTTGATATAGGCATAAAAATTATATGAGAGGAGAAGAAATAAAATGAGATTAAAGTAAGAAAATTAAAGTTTTGCTGTTGCGATTGTAGCGATTGTAGCTTGTTATAAAACTGATTGAATGATTTTCTGACGCTCCTGAATTGCATGGAAAACGAAAGGAAATTTATTCGGTGAAAATTGGTTCTGGAAGTCGGTCAAACCTAAAATTGGCACATTACAATCTTATGTCTAGATATATGGGAAGGAAAAGATTGGTGAAATCAGAGAATTTAGTGAACGGATCCAAGTTCCTGGTACGGGCGGGATACAGTTACTGGACTCTCGGTTACATTTTATCGGATAGCGGAGCGAAGAAACTGATCGGTGCTATGCCTCTCGGGAAATTAATCCCAGTTGATGAATTCCTTCCTATTCTTTCAGATACGCATCCTGAGTACGTAAAATGATTAATGTCTAGAGTTTCAATAATAAATAAAATAGTTTTAGAATAAATCTCTCATCTCAAGGATAACTCAATATCCGCATTCGAATTGGAAAAAATAAATCTCGGGTAGTAAAACAACGATAAATCTCATAAAATCCGGTCAAATGTTCTGCAAGTTGGTTACACATTATATAACTTATCTCTGTTAAAAGTGGCTTAGGCGGATCTTAATATTCATTTATCATTTTCCTATTTTTCAACAGAAAACAGTGGGCGGCTCAATTTCCCACTCGGGATTTGATTATATTATCGACGAATCCACTTTTAGTTTATCCGACGCATTATACCGGCGAGGATGGACACATCAGCGACACGGAAGAATCGAAACTCGTGCAAGATACTTCCACGCTTATGGATTTGGAAAATCGCGAGGAACTATAATCAAAGAGAAACCGTGAGATAGAACAAAATAGCATTTATCTAGTCGAAGAAGTCAACTGCCAACAATCTATTATATAAATTTAATAACAAACGGAAAACGACTTTTTTAACACAAAATATAGAGATATGTATGTAAATCAAGGATTTTTTCTGTTTAATAGAAGCGACAAAATTTCATTCAAATCGAAGCAACTTGAATTAAATCAAATCAAAGGATTTAAATATATATTTTTTAAGTAAAAATATAATTATTATTAGATTAAATTTTAATACATAACAAATAAGAAGATAGTATAATTGAATACATAATATTAATTAGTTTTATGGTAAAAACATATTTAAATTGGGTAAGTGTAAGCAGTAATACTGACAATAACACTTTGCCATCATTCTATACATTTACCGCCTAACATAACAAGCGGCGTTAAATTCTCGTGACTGGTTTAGAATCTGTTTTGCGTACAAATAGGTACTACTCTGGAGTCTGAAATTAGTTCTAAGATATATTTATAGCGTACGGAGTTTTTTTTTTACTGTTTGTTATAAAAGAACGACGGAAAATATTGTCTTATGTCACGTCTGCGTATTTGATAAGTATTTTTTAAAAATACAGAATACTTTTTTAAGGCATCTTTGGTGATTACAAGTGGTGATCCAGTTTTTCTCTACATATTTCTTAATCTTATTGTTAGTAAACAATTTTTATTTTTCACTATGCGATTGTTGGCAACGCTATATGTCCAAATCAATTAGAAAGGGTTTTCAGTCTAATTTTCTAAAGAAAATGTAAATGGTTCAACGAAAAAGAAGAAAAGTTGATCCTGCAAAACGTGCAATGAGAACGGAGTGGCCGACTTGCATTTCTGTTTGTAAATGCTTGGCGTGATGAACATGAAAGGGCTTATTAGAGATGATAAGGAAGACGGTTATTTATGCCCATATAGACGTACATACGAGCAATATTGCTCATAACACTGCCAGATTTAGATATGTTTTTATAAATTTGTTTAATAAATGCGTTTTTTATATAAACTGCTGCTTAAATTACTACAACTAAAACATAGTGATTTGTAGTATGCGGCGTTGTTGTTTACTCCTAGTTAGCAATAACACCACTTCACAATTTAAAAAAAAGTGTTTAGAGCCCTGATTTATTCCAATTTTATCAGTTGCGTTTTCTAGTTAAAGTAATCCAGCCGTTACACTTCAATTAAGTAAAAAAAAAAGGGCGTAAACCCAGAAGATGGTGGGTCAAGCCTCACGTTACTACGAATAGCGGCTATAATGAGCATAAAAAATTGTTTGAATATTTTCGAATGAGTGACCATGAAGAATTTTCCAAGTATGCAAGAATGGCGGTACAACAATTTAACTATTTGAACGATCTTTTGAAACCAAGATTATAAAAACGTAGTCGCCGAAAATTGCTCTGGCATAATCGGTTGTAATCGTAAGACGGAAAAGTTGGGACATGACCATCTTTCGTTCCGACAGCGACGTTCAGCTTGTGATAACTTCAACGATAATCGAAAATGCAGTGCGCATGCGTTCGACACCCGATTACGACACCCAACGTATTGTAGAATATAACGCGTAAGTTCTGCTCGCCACAGAAGAGGCACTGAAGAGAACCAGTGTGTCAGAGATCATATGTCAGTAATCAACGCACATCGCTGCGCGAGTTGGCACGAGTCAATAGTCGGTCGACAGTTATGGACATCAACTTCGAAGGAAAACGTATTCTCGTGACCGGAACTGGTCAGGGTATGTCTCTTCCTGTGAATTCATATAATTTTGTAATTAAAAATTGTTCTATATTAATTTTTGGAAAAGGTTCTTGAAAAATTAGTACTGCGAGCTCTCTTCAACGCATTACGTCGCGAGTTTGCGATTGACTTGGCAGAATGACTACGCATTTAGAAGGACGAAGAAAATTAATTATTCAATTTTTAAAGTTATCTTCAGAATATTTTCCTGTTTTAATGGCCGGCTTTTCCAGCCTCTTAGTAAGTTAACTAATAGTTAAATTATTCCGTCTATCTTCGTCTGATTTAAAGGAAAAACAAAGACATACATACCCAGTCAGCAAAAAGTTAGCAGATTGATAGCAGATTTATCAGAAACCCACACAAACCGTATCAATATGTGTCCGCATTTGGCTTTTGTTTTGACAACAGAGTCTGTAAAACATACGCTATCAACAGATTGCCGGCAGAAACCGTGAGGGTCCAGTTATGCGAGCAGATTTTGTTGCATTTCTGCTGACACGTTGGCGACATCAAATATATTAGTTCCTGTGTGCAATCTGTCGTCTTTCAAATCTGTGCTTTCAAAATTTGTAGTAGGCATTTGATGAAATCTGTGTTCTCACAGATTTGACTATTTGGATATGACTTAAATATCAATTAACTTACCAGAAAGTTAGAACAACCGGCCCTGAGTAAAACTACGAAAAAAAAGAAGTTACAGCACCTAAACGAATAGGTATCGTTTGTTAGATCTACCGTGAATTTATTATTTTTGAAGTGAAATTTATTTAGCGGAAAATTCACTGTTAGATCGTGTAATTGCAAAAAAGGTTTTGTGAAATTAGTTGTCAAGTTTGAGTGAGTCTCTAAACCTTGTTATTACATAATACATAAATATCATTATAAATGTACGCAGGAATCGGTAGGGAGTTAGCCCTTCGTCTCTCCAAATATAAGGGACAGGTGTTCGCGCTTTCGAAAACGAAGAAGCACTTGGACACCTTAGTAGCAACGGATCCGAAGATTCGGCCGATCTGCGTCGATCTTAGCGACTGGGATGCGACTAGGAAGGCCGTTCAAAGTGTCCTGCCGATCGATCTGTTAGTCAACAATGCCGCTTATGCGTGCCTTTCACCGTTCTTGGACGTCACGCGCGAGGCATTCGACATGACTTACGAGGTCAATGTGAAGGCTGTATTGAATGTGTCGCAGGTTGTAGCCAGGAGCATGATTGAGCGCAAAAGCGGCGGCAGCATTGTAAATATATCGTCACAAGCCGGTCAGGCGGCATTGAAGGATCACACCTCTTATTGCATGTCGAAAGCGGCCCTCGACATGTTATCGAAGTAAGATAATTAATATCGCCGTGATCCATAAAACAAGAGCTTGACGTTTAACCGAAGCGTTCGGAAATTATCGAAGTTTGCCATTTATTGCGAATCAATACACGAGTAGGCCATGGAATAGAAATATGGAATGTAAAAAGATCAAAGAAATAAAAAAGAGAAGAATGACGCTCCCCTATCTACAAAGGCTTACTCAACTTTTTCTTTTTCTTTCAGAAAATTCAAATCAACTAAAATTCTGTGAAAGTAAAATGGAAAACAACATTGTCACTTATTCTTATCTCTCGCGGTTCTTTCAATCTTAGATTTTAATTTTCAATCCTTCGTAATTTAACTGTGACCACCCAGTATTTTCGAAGAAAATTTTCGGTTTTGATTTTACCGAGGCAAATTGAAATTTTAAGAACTTTAATTTCGCACTTTGTGATGTTTTTAGATCGATGGCTCTGGAACTGGGTCCGCACAACATAAGAGTCAATAGCGTCGGTCCTACAGTCGTGATGACGGAAATGGGAAAAGTGTGGTGGGACAATCAGGAGAGAGCATCGGACATGATCAGCAAAATTCCGCTTGGTCGATTCGCTGGTACGTAAATATCAAACGTGAGAATTTTTTATCACCAGAAATTTAATTTATTCAATGATAAGTGAACTCAACCATTATACAGGGTGGGGAAAAATTCCGGACCCCTGAAATATCTCGGAAAGAGCGCCGTAGGCGCGTTGCTGTTTTTTCACCTTCTCTCTTTCGTTGTCATGAATAGTCATACATGTGATTATACCTGTACACGACGCTTTTTTTACGATGTATATTATTTCTGAAAAATGCAGGGAATGGATATTCAGATAATTTTGTATACGGTGTATTTATCGCGGTGTTAAGTAAGCTTACTCTAATAACTTTACAGAAATAATTACACAGTTATTTTAGCAATCGTCCTTAGTTTTTCGTTAGTTTAGAATTTTATACCATTCTACCTAATTATTAATTTATTTTTGCTTTTCTGAACGTTAGTTATTAAAAAAATAGATGATTAAGTAGACGGTTCGACATATCATGTTGCAGACATCGACGAGGTGGTGGATCCTGTTGTATATTTATTGAGTGATCGAAGTTCCATGATCAACGGTGTCTGCTTGCCTATCGACGGCGGTTTTTTAGCTGGATAAACAAAAATTCAGGATAGTTTTTAAGAGAAAAAAATTTGATTACTATGAATACACTTAATCTGTTATTCAATATATGTGGACTAAATGCGTTTTTTATATAAACTGCTGTTTACTACAATTGAAACATAGTGATTTGTAGAAAGATTAAGAAGAGTTTGCTTATTGTCACCAGTAATGATTAAAAATTGAGACGGAAAACTTACAGTCAACCCAACTGGCTAGTTATTTTATTAGTTCATTACACAACGTTTCGACCCTATTTTTTGGGACTTAGCACCACTTGAAAACAGTTGAGTTGACTATAAGTTTCCCGTCTCAATTTCTAATAAAGATTGTTGCAATATAGTCATGCATTTTGACGTAAGGCTCGGTGGGATTATTGAAAGGAATCCGGGCAGGATAATACAGTCGACAAGAGAACCCAGACAAGCTTCATTTGTTTCGGTTTAATTTAAAAAAATGCTTCGTTTCTTCCTTTCTTCATCGTCAACTAGATTTGACAAACAGGCGGCGACAGAGAAAGCCCGTGAACGGGCAAGACGGTTACTCACGTCGGCGAGTGTGTCTCTTTCTCTCGCAAGTATCTTTGAAAATATTCTACCCCGAAATACTAACGCACGTATGTATATAATTATATAATTCACGAGCTCCTCTTTCATCTGCCGTGGCTGCGCTCGATCTAAAGAATGTGAACGCTTTTCTCGGCACCTAATTTACTCCTACGGTGAACGTAACGTAGTAGAGAAACTAAAAATATGTACGCGGAAGGAAACAATGCAAGTCGAATGCATCCCTTGGTGCCTTTTCGTCACTTCCACATTTTTTCATACATCGAGACGTGCCTCAAATTTACCGGGTGTCCGAAAAAGTATGTTTTTATCGCGCTGTACATAACACACTTGACATTAAATTTTGAATTTCATGATAAGCTTAATTATGTAATTATACTCGATTATATTTGTTCGGATTGATGCACCTATGTCACGTATTCGAATTAAAATGTCAGGCAAAGAAAACGAAAAGTGGCATATTTAGATGCGATTCCCAGTGAGAAATGATTCGTCGATTGACGTCGAAATGATGTCGAATCGATGTCAATTCAACGGTGTCGATGTCGATTCGACGTCGTTTCGATTCATTTCTCACTGGGTTCGTAATTTATATCCATGTATAAACTTACAAAATCGTTTTCGTTCGATTGAGGAATTTTATAGAATGGTGATACAATGCCAACGTTGGGTCAATGTGAAAATCCTGTAGATAAAGAATAAAAATGAAAGCGTGGCATCTTATCTAACTTAGGAATGGTATTTTCAGAATTACATTCGTGTAATATTCGTAAATTTATAGCAAAATTTATATTTCACTTCGCAACCTTATATTTAAAAAAACATAGCTTTATTTTTGCTACGGCGAATTTGTTGACAATGAGTTATCTACTGAATCGAAATATTTGACATAGGTATCGTCAATCTCGTAAATCAAAAAGATTACTATTTGTTCAAAGATATAATTTTTTTCAGGACTCCCTGCTGTGTATATTACTGAAATATCGACACGAACCAAGTGTCGAATGCAAAACCAGTTTAATTAGTAATACCCGTATTTTATCTAACTGCGAGACACGTAAATGGGACGGACGCCCGATATATTTCAAAAGCAAATTCGCATCGAGACAGATAATGAATTCGCTGCGCGTTTTACTCGCAACCACTATTCACCGGGTGAAACTTAAACGAGTAACAATATTGCGCTTCATTATCTCATCAGACTCTTCTTGTCTTTATTTACGCTCTCAGCCAATATCGTGAAAAGACCGAATTTCCTGACAACGCAATCTTTCTTTCTTAGCAAGGTTAACGCGGCTAGCTTTAATTTACATTAATTTCGCAAATTATTACAAGATTAATAGGCAGAGAGTTTTCTCGCTGTCTCGCGCTCTCGCTTCCTCTTGTCGCAAACGTAATAAAGTCATTGCTTTATTAAGTAAGCAATGTACAGATCTAGCATTGATATTCCTTGTCACAAAGTGTCACAATTGGGTAGGTTTTTGTTTTGAGTTAAAAATGTTTATATGTGTATGTGCCCACGTGCGGGCAAATGTGTATACACATACAAAGTGGGCTGAAATAAGTGGTATAATTGGGAAGTTACTATAGCTCTCACAGAACAAATTAAAATAATAGAATAAATTTTATTCGAATAAAACTCTCGTTTTTTGAGAAAACATTTTAAAAGTTAATCAAGTACGTATATAAAAGAAAAAATTATTCTCATACTTAAAGAATTAAAAGAATGAATTGTCTAAGACAATTAAATCCATTTCGCAGAATATAACTTTGTATATGACTCAAGAATCAATAATTTCAACATTAATTTTAACAATTTTCAATTAAATAAGAGATAAATTTATAAGACAAAATTAATCTTCTTGTCATGTACAAATTCACTCGTCTATCTTAAGAATAAACTGATTGAATCAGTCGATAGTAGTAACTGATTCAATCAGTTTACTCTTAAATGATTACTAACTAGTCCTGATAGTAATCAAACTACGCAGAACATTTGTAACGAAAATTATGTCCAATATCAATCAAGTACACGCATTTTTTATCAACTTTTATTTTTCTCGAAAACGAGGCTTCGTTCGGGAAAAAAGTATTTTATCGTTTCGACTTATTTCGAGCCGTGGAACGACCCACTTCACGGTTGTATTTCGAATCATCCTAAGTAAACCATCCAATCGTGGCAGTTTTCCACACACACATATTGCATTGTTAATAATATATGTCAACATTAATGCTTTACATGGTTTATATTACGTAAATTAGCGAGAGCGAGAAACAACGAAAGGAAAATGCACTCCGCAGTCCAACGAAGATGTATAGAGATTAACCCATTTACATCAAGCGTATTGCAACATCTCGCATCGGTCGCAAGAGGTTTACTGCGCAAGTAACATCGCGAGTAATAAATTAGCGTAGAATAATTAAAATGCTTCGTCACAAATCGGAATGAATAATTTAGATTATTGAAAAGTAAGTAGTTCGCGGAAAGACATACTTTCGGATTAACGTGCTTCGCTCGTAGAAATTAAAATATACTGAACTTAAAGGCAGAGAAGACTATGCCGAGTGTCTCACTTCAACGCTTTGCCACTCTATTCGGAGTCGTTTGGGAGAAAAAAGGAAGAAAAAAATTATGCGGATGTACATGGGTCAACATTCTCATTATTCGACTACCGATTATGTCCCCAACGCTTTTCTGCTAAGACGGAACGAAGTACAAATGCAAAGTAATCGAGAAACAAGACTATACATAGGGCTTTGTGTAGAACAGACCACATCTTTCCACACATCTTACACACACTTTCTCTCTCGCACTGATCAAAACGTTTTAACTACAGGTATGGTTGTCATTTTTTTGTCATATAGTACACAAAGACAGTTTTACAGTATTTAATATTTGCTATCGTTCTCGGTGTTGCCGCTCTTTTCGCCACACTTTATCGGACATTTTTTTAAATCTAATTCTCTCCCCCTTTCATCCTCTCATTCTCGCTTTCTCTCAAGCACACTTGCACATATTATCATAATGTTCTTCTTGTCTCAATAGATTATAATAGTAATTGTATATATACAAACCATTCGCCTCGGTACACAGTTCGATTAGTACACTTAAAATACATTGATCGTGAATTTATTCTCGACATTTGCCGCGGTCGTCGTGACGTCCTATCGCCGAGGGAGGCCATTAGAGTCATCATTGGATTTCGAGACTCTTTGAACGCTCTCTCACATGTTGTGTTTGGACATATTTGCGAAAGCTCCCCTAGGCCGGCCAAACAAGCGCGTACGATTTTTAACTATGATCCAAAATCGTACAACAAAAACGTATACACACACTCTCTCTCTCTCTCTTGGTAATTACAGTTTTCACTCGCGCGACAATTTGCTTTTTCGTGTTCGAAACCACCGGTGTTCAATCGCAGAATGCGAAAACTAAATTATCTAACATTGAAAGTATCATTAGAGATGTAGTAAATAGAAAAACGTAAATTTCTCATTAACAACCCAAAAATTTGTGGTCGATCGTATATCTCAGTCAAGTGTTATAAAGCTTCTTTACGCCAGAGATGCATCGTAACGAAATTATAATCTAAGTTTCTAATTTAATTGTAACTTCCTCGGCTGCACTTCGCGCGCTTGTGCAAACCGTGCAATTACAAAAAAAAGGGGGAAATAAAAGTACGCGGGGAGGAATTGTCGCTGCTCCTCTTTGCGGGGGACATCGATTACCTCGAGAGGGTTTTCCCGTTTGACGAATCTGCTATGATCCACGAGGACGAAGCGACGACTCGCCGCCATGCGTAGCGTGTTTTCAGTTCAGTCATAAACGGGAAAACGCAAGATAAGAACTCTCGCTCGTGCTGGCAGTGTTCATCTTTTCTCTCTCTTCATCAAAGCAACAACTCGCACAGAGAATCCAATAAACAACAACATTACGTAACATCAATATCATAATTTTCCATTCAACAATGTAACTGTTATATACAGGGTGTTAAAAAAAATCATTCAATATTTATATGGTAGATAGGACACACCATACTGATCTAAATAAACTGTACGGGTCATATGATGCTAACATACAAAAATGTTTATATCTCAGAAACGGTTGAGTTTTCTACTAATGTTTATTTAGATTTTTCACTGAGTATGGTGTCCTATCTATATAAATATTTAATGGTTTTTTAACACCCTGTATATTACGGTTACAATCTCGACAGGAAAATGTCTCAAATTTAGTGTAACAATTGCATCATCCAAAGGCAGGAAATTTCACAATAATTTGCTGACATACTATCTAGAAATACACTGTGCAAATATTTATCAATATCTGATGGAAGGTCTCCATTTCCGCATGTTGTTCGAAATATGCGCGCATAGTTCCAGCATTCCAAGTTTCATCCAGATTTCGTAACATAATTTGCTAAATATTTTCCTATCGGGAAATATGTTGCATTACATTGTTGAGGAAATTGTAATGTTATTGATGTTATATAACTATTAATTACTTTGTGTCTACTGGGAAGACCTCTTGATCTGATACAAATACACGCGCACTTTCGGACGTACCCGATTGATACGTAAATATGTATGTAGATGGGAAATTGGAGAATCTCATCTCCGATGACTATACAAAATTACAATAGAGTAGCAGTCTTTTGTTGCTCTATTGCAATTATGTTTGAAATTTCATATGTTTACTAGCAACCGAGATAATTACTTCGATTCGCCGTGTCTTGTCATTTTTGCGGCAACAAATTAGCGTGCAATGAGTGCGTGGGTAATTGTATAGTATAAAATAATTTCTGGCTGATGCCATTGAGAAGGGAGATTTACACGAGCACGCGTAAACCGTGGTGATTTATAGCTTCGAGTTTGTTGAAACAATAAACGATGAGATGCGCAGAGATTTTCCCCTTGACAGATAGACGAGTTTGGTAACTAAAGTAACGTTGTTGGTGCAGGGGGAAACTTCTTACGGGCGATAAATGAGATAAGATTTGTTCGAGAAAGACGAGGTGGGAAACCTCGGATTAACGACAGAATTATGTCAAGTTGTCACTGAGAGAGTGAAAAGATATCTCCTTTGGAAGACACCAGTCTTCGTGAATAATAAATATTACTAAACTAGTTTGTGTTCTTGAAAAATCTCTGAACAGATCAAAGATGTAATTACGTTTTGATGTGACACACACACACACACACACACACACAGATTCGTTCGTTAGACGACAGCGTCAGGGAACTGATCGGTAAAAGGCTCTCGGCGCAACGAAATTATTTTTATTGTGGATCTGTTGTCTTCTATTTTTTTTAAATACAAAACCAATACAAATCCAAATTGAAAGTGTCTTCTCATAAAACCTCCACATCTAGGACCTTCGTTATTACTTCAACAAGACAAAGGGCAGCGAAAATAAGGCAGTTGTTAGCTATGAGTGTTAATTGTGAGTGTGTGTCTATTTGTATGACGCAGTTTTTGATTTATAAATTTGTTTATAATAGCATTTAAATTCCACTGTCATATGTACATACGGAACACTTAAGAAATTCAAACCGATATTGTGCGGTTATTAAATAACAAAAAAAAATTACAATGGGGAGACGCTCAACCAATAATTTTATTCGGGCTGGGGGGGGGGGGTGCTTTGCATTCCTAAAGAGTTAGCGCCTGCGATAATATGCATTAATTGCAAAGTTGTATTTTGCAAGCAAGGGAGAGATAATATGCGTTATAGAGAAGTGCGCGAAATCACAAGAAATTTATTTTAAAAAAAATAATTAAAAAAGAGAAATTAAACAAAATTTTGAAGTGACGGAGATGAGGAGAGATCTTTAAGGAAATTGTAGATGAAAAAGGAAAAGAAAAAAGGATATAAGGTGATAAGATGATGAAAATGAGGCGATGAAAATAGATATAATTCACATTGAATAAGCGAAAGTATAAGTTGAGAGTTAAGTAAGATTTAAAAAATAAGTTATGTGTGAAGGAGGAACGAGAGGTCTGAGTGTGTTAAGTATTTGATTGTAAACCAGTTTCCTTCTTAGCTGTAAGTTAAAATTAACAAAATATTATCTATCATTAATTGTAAAGTCAGTTTTGTAATTTACGTATATTGTTTCCAGTCAAAGAACAATGTATCTCCATAACTCGCGTTCTAACAACCGTCGTTTATTCCGTCTAAATTTTACTATTATTTGTCTAAGAAAATTTTACTTCGCTACCACATCGGCCGCTAATCGCCTCGTCTTTTCTGGCTTCGAGGTGCGACCCTGTCGAAAAATTCGATCGTGAAAGCGCGAGAAAGACGGGCAATTCTTTCAAACGATTAATTTCATTCGTGTTAATTATCGTCGCTCGATACTCCCCCCCCCCTCCCCCCTGTGCGAAAGAAAGCAAAGAGATTCAGGTGTAGTGCAATGATCGAGATAACGCGGTTGTGCAACACGCCGTTGATATACATCGCTTTGTCCTCGTCCCTCGCTCGTCGGGAGGGCTCGTACTTCGTCCCGAGTAGATCGCTGCGATTCAAGATTTGACTATACGATATACAACATAATAACAATTAGCAATAGCAGCAGCAGTAGTCGTAACCGGTAATAGTCGTAGTAGTAATAGTAATAATGATAGTAATAGTGATAGTAGTAATAGTAGTAGTACCCTATGAAAAAAAAAAGAAGAGAAAAGATACATAGAAAAACACGATGTCGGTATAATATACCTATATGCACTTTTTTATCTCGTTTTCTTCGCTTTTCTACGCAACGCGCCACGCGTGACATGCCGTGCAAGACAATGTTAGGAAGAGAACCGAGGCGAGGAGAGGGGTGGTAAAGGGCGACGGACGGGAGAGAAGATTAGGACGACGAGGGCGGAAACCCACCGAACTCTCGACCCAGAAACATGGAACGCTTCTCGAGCTTCTTCGTCGACTCGTATTCGTATCCCATATCCACCCGTACCTACGACCGTTCGACCGCCAGCGCGAGTCGAGGTCGTACCACGATCTTCGTGGACGAGGCGCGTTAATGTGGGATACGAATGCGGCAGCTCCCCAGAATAAACCTATATAAACGTATAGACCCTTGGGAGAAGCAGCCGATCTGAACTAGAGCTGAAATTTTTCTTCGAAGATTTTCAATTTCGAAGCTTCGAATCTTCGAAGATTCGAAGCTTCGTAGAAATTATTCGAGAATTGAAGTTTTCGAATTTTTCGAAGATTCGAAGTTTCGAAGTTTCGAATTTTCGAAGTTTCGAAGTTTCGAATATTCAAAATCAACTAATGTATTAACAAGATAAAAACAATAACACATTTTGCAAAATTAATCGTTTTTACTATAACTGTGAACTAATTAAATGCCAACTAATTAATATCATTACAAGTATAAAAAAAACAAATGTACTTTTTGTCGGACACATTTTTGTCCATTCGCTCATAAAAATACAATTAATTCGAAGGAAATAAATTTTCTATCATTAACATTTTATCTTATTAACTATTTCTTTTTACTGCCTGATACAGTTGATAAATACAGATGATAAATTAGGTTGGTCTTTGAAAGCTTATATCTTAATGCATTAGTTGACTTCGAATATTCGAAACTTCGAAACTTCAAAAATTCGATATTCGAAGTTTCTTCGTTTCTTCGGATACTTCGAAGCTTCGAAGTTGCGAAGCTTCGAATAATTAAGACCACTAATCTGAACAATGTATTACAGCAGAAGTGTCTCCAACATCTATCTATCCTTGTCTGCACGAAATCTGCTTTGCACCTACGCGAAATGTAATGACCGCGCAACATACACACAGCATTTTGACGTTTTATTAACCCAATAACGGAATTTGAAGACGCGGTGGCTCCAAGCCAAGAGCAAAACGTACAATAAAAAAAAAGTATTGTGAACAAAACACTGGTATACAACAGAATATAACATATAATAGTCGACACATGCGTGTCGCGGTAAACGTATAGACAAAGACAGATATATGGCTGGGCCAATTACAAGGGCTGTGCCCCTTTCAGATACAAGTACATGTACATTCTAAGGAGTAAATGCGATGTTTCTCCTCTTGGCATTACGCTCCTCTCTTCTTCATTCGAGCACGCACGCACGCACGTACCTCACTCGCTTTCCTTCCCCGTCCATCGCGCCTCCTCTCCGTGTACTCGCGCACAAGAAATTTCGCATGCGGCCGACGTACAAGCACACAAACGCATGCATACACCTGTTACAAACACGGGTTACATACACACGTTAGTAGAACGAAACCTCGGTGATATTCATCGGTGTTGGTTTTCTCGCGAGTCTCCTCGCGCGTCGTATCCTCGTTCGTCCACGAGATCGATTTGCCGGAGGAAGGGAAAACAACGGAGTCGGTGAGCAGAACCGAGAGCGAGCGAGTAATATCGTTACCGTATAAAAGGGAAAGAGCACGTGGGCTTGTCGCGGGGCGAAGAGAGGTCACGTTAGTTATTAGACGGCGAGTGAATCTCTCCCGTGTCTGTTCTCCTTGGGACGCACGATTACGGTAAGGACTTTAACAAAATGACTGCCTTGTACTTTTAAGATAATACTATGAGTTCTTGTTTCAAATAACACACAATAACCAACTTAAATCTTAATGTATGTATACGAAGTTTGCAAAGAAAAAAACGTGGGTGTGTGTAATATACAAAAATAACAATTTTACTATACGACCATTAACATTATCTTGAAATTACAGGTCAGCCATTTTGTTAAGGTGCCCTACAACGCTGAACCGCGGCGATGTGTATGTATTATAATCCGTCGCACACGCGACTCCACCTGTACAGTACGCCCGATCGATGCCGACAAGATGCTAGAAACGCTCCTTGGAAACTCGCGCAATCGTGTCTCTCCTTTGTCTTATCACCTAAACACAACCGAACGAATTGTCCCTAAAAACTAGACGTACTCCCCGTCTCCTCTTTGCACGCCCATTGTACTACGTTCTGTATGATCGTTTAACTAGAGCTTGTTTTAGCGAAATGATCACGATCCTGGTGTTCCGCCGCCGTGCCGTAAATCGAGACGTGAGATCGCTTCAGCGAGACCAAGCGAGAGCGTCTCTCCGATAAGAATTCTTTCGGAAAGTCACTCGTAGATTTGCACCGATACTCCGCAACTCTTTCGTTGGATGTTTCCCGAAGCCTGCTATTTTAATCACCGGCTCGACTAGAGCAACGACAACCCCCGAGTTTAAGACACGAGTTACCACTGATGTTTCAGCGATGCCGAACACGCGAAAATTTCGTCGCGGTTATATTCGTTGACCTTTTTCCCGCGATCGCGCCTGATCTTCTCGACTAACACGGAGCTACATCTCGTTTATATCTTTTTGAAAACCACGCTTTCTTTTTACCTTGTGCAAAAATTCGTGATAGCTTTACACATGTCGGATTCTCGATTATCGATACAACCGGTTTATACACACGTTGCGACTTATACAAAAAATATTTTACATTTATACAAACTTCGTATTGGCCCCGACGGAGCGGGATACGGTAATAATAGCGCGGAATCACATTAGCTTTCGTGGCTGCCTCGTGAAAATCGAACGATAATCTCGCCATGTCAGTTTCGTTAAAAGACAATTTACATAAGTCATCGGAGATCGACTTACGCAACAGCAAACAAATTTAAAAGCTTTTACCACTTTAAATATCTTCGAATCTATAAGGTTCAGAAGAATTTGTGTTACCAAAGTCAAAAATTATTAAGGCAGACAAAGAAATGCTTCGGATAAAAGTTGTACCACTTAATAGAAAAAGATTATACAATAAAAAGTAGGGGGTACCCTTTAAAAAAGTGGAGGTGACCTTCACGTCTGAAACGTCTCCATCTGGATAAAAATTATTATCGCCATAACTTTGGTTAGACAAATATTCTTCTGAACTTTATAGATTCGAAGATATTTAAAGTGGTAATAGTTATTGCCTCTACCCTGTGTAAATGTGTGTGTGTATTTGTGTGTACGTGTGTGTACGGAATACTATGTGATTTGATATATCATTACAGTTCTTCATTACGGCGCGCTCTCACACTTCGTAACTTTCGACAGAAACAGTTATCGTCTTTTACGAAACAATTTATAAATTATAATCATACTACCAAACGCCTCGTCGAATAAGCTTGCTTAAACTCGTATCAAAGTACCGTGCTGTTTATACACGCGAATAATATTAACACAAATCAAATTCGGAGGAAGCAAAGCTAGCTTGACCATAGCGGGTCAAGCGTTGTAAAAACTGTAACTGTGTGTTGTCCGAGGTACACTCATGTTGTCTCGTGATCAACTGCGAGAATTTATCATCAAAACCGTGTACTGTACATTTGCGATTCGCCACGGAAGAGAAGGACAAAAAAAGGGGTTGGGGGGAGGAAAGAGAAACGATCTCTGGTCTCGTGATCCCGCGCGCGGAGAACGCGACGGGGTTTGGCGATCTTTAAGCGTCGTTACTCTCCTCGACAACGTCGCTGAGGGGTGTTTTCCAGACGGGCTCCCAATCACGACGGGGAAATTCCGGCGGACCTCGAGTTCGCTCGGAATGACCGCAGAGTCCTTCTAAGAATCCTGCGCACCGCAAATGCAAGGGAGCTGCTTCATTGCCGGCCACGTCTCGTTGCTACCGATGCCGGCGTATCCGTTTTCGGCACAAGCCGCGGAGCAACGACACGTTTCTCCCTCCTTGTCTTCATTTCCGTGAAGAACGGTTGCTTCCGTTGCCACTTACACGGATGTCGCACCATTGACCGGCGCACCACACGCCGGTCTTATCACTGATGATCCCCGCGACGTCGTAACACGCTGGAAAAGTCGGTCACCGTTCATTGGATGGCCGCGTGGTACCACTCGTGAACTCACTTCCGGCTCGCGGTGGTAATAGATGGTAAAGCGTCGCGCGAACGGCGGTAATCACCAACCACCGTTCCTGACGAACGACGCTGCTGGTCGTTACGATGACGATGAATCTGCTATTGCTGCTGCTGATTCACTTGTTGTGTTGCACGCTTGCCCGTCTGACCATCAGGGTGGGTGGACCGATTGCCGTCGCATTGGCGCTTCCAAAACAAAAGACACACAAAACAGCGACATTAGCGCGCCACCGTCCTCACCACATAAATGAGCTAAAGGTTCTCTTTATCTCTCTTTTCCATTTTCTTTTCCGGCGCTCCTTCTCTCGTTCGTTACATCTAGCCTCCCCAACTTCGCTCTTACCCAGCGGTCCTCGGCTACGAATTAGTTCGTAATATGAGATCAGATATAATCAACCTTCGGCGTTAGCACGAAACAATAATGTAATGGAAATTGAATAATATTATTTTTCGTGATGAAATGCAATGTAGTTTTAGTGAGGATGTACGTGTTAATAGCAAGTTTCTAAAGAAACACAAGTCTCAAATTCGTTGTTGTTCCTCTCACATGGTCGTCATCTCCGTAAACGTGTCTTATCGTAGTCTGTCTTGATAATCACGGTCGACAGATCGAAAAACAAAATTGTAATGCAAGAATTCCTCATATTTTTCGAGTCTCGTTAAATTGTAATACCGTCGAGCTCTCTCGTTCGCGACGAGATTCTTAACGGCATAAGTCGACAAGCTCGTGAGGAGGAATGAACTCGGAGAGAAGGCTCGCACGATGAAAGTCCCCATGATCAGAGTTTTTCACGATCGGCGTCCTCTACCGTGGCACAGGAGAGAATTTCTTTCCCTCTTTGTCTACTTTTGTCATTTAGAATTAGTGTGATTTCGGTTACCTGAAAAAAGTCAACGAAAGAACATAAAGCAGAATTTTGGTGAATTTCGAATACCAAATAGTTTTTGCGTGTCTATGCTTTAGTTAGATTGCAAAACGGATGTATCAGATGCTTGAGAAAAATTCAAAGTGTTAAAACGTGCATGTTTACATGCACAGTTATTCGAAAGGATGTCCTCACACAGCTAAATTAACGTTAGTGAAGCGTAAAAATGTATTATTAAGAGCTTTAAAAAGATGCCACTGATCTCAGCTAACATGAGAAATAAACATCTGACTCTTGGCATAGTCGAACTTTAGCGATAAAGATCGAGTTTACATTTTACTCGTTTAGCCAAAATAAATTTTTAAATCCATATAAAGCATTCGCTATTTATCAGTTATTCCTATGTTATAGATATAAAATTTCGTTCAGTGGAATTTAGTGGTTTAGTTGTTTAGAAAGTAAACTGTTCATAATTTGTTTCATATAAATCTGACAATTTCAAAAACATATGTACGAGTTTGATCATATTCCGATACTTGTAAGTGGAACGTATTAATGAGACTACAACAATGTCCTCTGGTTTTATAAATCATGCCTACGTTTGGAGACATTCGAAAAGTTGATTAACCAGTTACCAAGTGGAATTGTACAATAACCAACTGGGTCGTTCGGCTATTCTCCGAGTCGTTACGCTCTTATTGCTTTGGCTTAGCTTTATACTTCTTGAAAGGTAAATGTGAAAGTCTTCTCCACACGGAGAAGCATACTGCGCGTTCTAAGAAATACTCCGCTTCTTATTTCTGTATAAATTTTACTGAACGCCGTTTAATTTGCATATTTAATATTTTCTCGAATATACAAGATGTCCATTATCTTGTCAGTTCTATAATATACCGATATAATAAGATATCGTAAAGGAAATTTTTTTAAATCAAAGTGAGTTGAAAAAGTATTATTCGCCTATGGAAAATGTTTCTCCTTAAAAACTGTATATATTACAAAAATAATGCCACAAATTATCTTCTTTCTTTGTGCGATATCTGTGCTTGGGCATCCCAATAACATCAAGTACAATCGGACTTAAGTCTAACGATCAAAAGAATTGTTCCAAAATTATTTGTTTACCAAAATCACATGCGATTTTCTCAAAATTATGTAACCAATCCGGCTAACAAAAGCCACAGGCAATTAGAGACATATTCTCCAGACAGAAATGATATCTTACGTTGCATATTTGTTAATATTAGTTTGTTAATTACGCATATTCTAATTTATTAAAAATAACAATATAATAATTATATTGTAAGAGTGCAATCGATAGCAAGCAATAGTAACTTCCGACTTTCATTTGGAGAGAATGCTTGTTTGTAGCTCGTCACTAGTTTGATATGAATGTTTTCTTGATATTTTTTTACTCGATATCCATGCGTTATCAGAACATATATACAGGGTGTCTGTATCGCTACGTCACTAACATATTCTGATTACTTTGTAAATAATATTTTTTGAAGCAAAAATAAATATTACAAAACCACACTCCTCGGAGAAATTAGGTTGTTCGTAAGAAAATAATCCATTTTTCGGTTGCTGGCAACTCAAAGAGTTATTGTTTGCTCCAAGAAATAAGCCATTAAAGAATAAAGTGACGAGACATCTTGCGTACAAGATATGCACATTGAGAATTCTTTCCAAATGACAAAACGTATCTCCCTCCGTCCTTTCCCAATCTCCATTTATTCTCAATAAACATAATTAATTAAAGTACCATGCCACGGTATTACGACACCACCTTCCTACCAAAATTAAGCTTCCATTCAACTAACGCGTACTGATAAAAACATGATCGAGCGTTAAGCATAACACAAATTGTAATTTTTTTAAATTGGCCTCATCACGCACCGATAAATCGTAAAATTTGGTAAGAGCTGTGAAAATATAGCGATGAAATTGAAAAATGGAACTTACACCGTCATTAATATATCGCAAATTTTCATACTTCGTATCATAGCCACACTGGCGCTCGATATAGAGATATAAGTAGGATCGAAAACAGGCTTAGAATGCAATTTTCCCCCAAATGTGCAATGTTCATGCAAGACCGAAAACGAGAGTGTAACAAGCTCTGAATTTTTACCGACTCCAAAAACTTTTATGAGGTGACTCGAAAATAAGTCGCCAAAAATGTGCAGCGTATTTATCAATTAATCTTGAAATCGATACATCTTTCTCTTTCATAAGTTGTTAATTGTCCAATTGATATCCAGCCGTTTTGAAAAAACTGAATTACAAAGTAAAAATCTATAAAGCTCATCTGTGGAAAAAAAAAGATGTAAAGAAACATCCAAATTTTCAGGGCAAGAAAGATCCGAAATTGACGAAAGAAAAATTCAGCGACCTATTTCAGTATCAATCTAAATGAATAATGAGAATGAGAAAAGTCTAGTGTATCATCCGTTCTAACGGCAAAACTTTCCTATTATCTACATTACACTGATATGACCGAAATAGTGAATGGTTGCGAAAGTAGCTAATCTGTGCAAGCTTACGTATTCTTTGTAAACGGATCCGCGGATTTCAGTAGAGCAAGTTATACCCAGTCGTTTAGCGGCTTTAGTCGTTCTATATTGTGTAGCAACTCACTTGGACTTGGGCTGCATTTCTCCTGCAGCGGCTAGTAGCGTATCCCTACGGTGCAACCGCATGCTGACCCTTCGCTCTTGTCCACCCGCACCCGATGCTGAAAGAGAGCATCAGAAAAAACATAATACATGAAAAAACCGCAAGAGAAATTTTGCCAACATTCCTGTGTTTAACAACATTACGTGTGTTTCTTTCGTATTGTCAACTCGCTGCCACCCTGCCTGTTTCGTAGACTTTTTAGCTTTTATCACACACCACACACACACACACGTTATATTACATATAGAGGAAAGTCCTCTATTATGAGATAGGTTTCTAATATAAGATAGCAAGTTTTCAACACCCAAATTCAGTCACAAATCTTTTTTGACACCGTACGCAATCTAACAATGAATTTTCTACTAAACAGATATCGCTTCAAGGGCAACAAAATTTTCGGTGGAATCAACAGACGAGGTCTATTAATTTAACAGAAATCCCGCTATCTCATAATAAGGGACTTTCTTCTATATATATAAACGCACGCGAAAGCCTCCTACCATTCTCTCGACACACACAGCAGGTTTTACAAGTTTGTACAAATCCAAAAGCAGTTATAGGGGAATAGCGATATTTGTTCAAAACAATTTTCCCCAAAAAAATTCCGAAACTTCAGCTCTCTCATAAACTCGCCGACAATAGTTTGGTCAGTACATTCAATCGTGCAGGTAACTGAAGAAGTCGCCGAAGAGAAAAAAAAAACAGGAGGTAAGGAAGAATAAAACAATCGTAGGCAGAGAAGAGCACTCGTTACATTGCAGAGCATACGTTTTTTTTTCACAGTATTGTATTATATGTATGTTATACCCACCATGCATTAACCTGTAATTTAAAACTATTTTGAAAGATGACATAATCTACAGATCGTAACAATGACCTAAACGAGTGTGCCTCTTTATACCCAAAGTAGCGTCGTCACATTACAAAATTGCAGTTGCTCCAGTTGCCGTATCTAATCTTCATTAGCGAGGTATATAGATACGCGATATGTCTGTTTGATTGGCGCACATAGAATTTTAAATACATTTAATGCGACTGATGACAATGATAGAGGAAAGTCCTCTATTGTGAGATAGGTTTCTAATATGAGATAGCAGTTTTCGACACCCAAATTCAATCACAAATCTTTTTTCACAACGATCACACAATCCACCAATGAATTTTCCACTAAACAGATTTCACTCCAAGGACGAGTCATGGTGGAATCAATCAGACGATGCCTATTTAACAGAAACCTCGCTATCCCATATTAAGATCCTTTCTCATAATAGGGGACTTTTCTCTATGTGAAGTTAGATTTCGAAAATTAAAATACTATTTTATATGAATTCATGCAGGCTGACATAATCCAACATACTTAATGAATTCGTTATAAATTACAGTTTTAATCGATTTTGACTGAAGGATACGTTTGATTACATCCTTTTACTTGTCTAAAATGTTCACCGTGGCATTCCGTTTGAGTAGGAAAATGTTACCTTAAATTTTACTGAAACCCATCGTCACTTTTTAACTACTATTGCAATCTTTCGGAACAACAATCAATCAAAAGAAGTGATAAATGAAGTAAGGTAAGTCTCGAGAACTAAGTGCTATTTTTAATCCTACGTAGGATATATTCGTCAGGTCAATGCGGCATATTTGCTTCGGGAATCTCATACGATTAAGAATCGTACTTGACATCAACCGGCCGGCGCGGAAAACGACGGATAATCTTTCACTCTTGGCGATTAAAATGGAAAAATTAATCATTACAATATAAAATAGGAATAAGAAGAAAGTAACCGAAAGTTGGAACATCAGTGTTTCGAAAAATTAATCAAAATGAGGAAATGGTACGCTTTTGTGAAGACAGATGATGCGACAAATTAGCCGAAAAGTAGAATTTTCTATCTTTCCTCTCTTTCTCCCGCTTTCTCTCTCGCCGACGTATGTCTCGCGAATCGTCGAATCTCCGAGTTATTTGCGCTTGGGTTTTTCCATTCAAGCCAAGTGAGAAATAATTTTGACAAGGATAATCGACAATGTCGTGTGGTGAGATAAATAAAAAGAGACCAGTCCTTGAATGGAAAAACATTTATTTACTACTTTTTCTTCATTATCATCATCATCATCATCATCATCAATAAAAAAACAGACTGATTACAGATAGGTATACGATATGAAGATATGCTAGACGAGTGAAGAAAAACTGGGAGGATGGACGATAAAGACGACGTCCGATGGTGGTCTAGTGTGTAGGAAGAAGTTGGCAGTGTCGTTGCGAGATATCAATAAATCTCATTCGATCGTTACGCCTAATGAGAACCAAAGTTTCTCTTCAGATTACAAAGATCATGGATACGTAGCAAAACTAGACTTTATCTTTCCTATCTAAGCTTTGGTAACCTTTTCACGTCTCTAGACGTTTCCTCGTGACATACATTACGAGATATGGGGCAGTTAATAAAACGAAAAAGAAGTCGGGCTATTGAATTGCGAAGGCTCGTCGATTCGTCAACCATCAGACTACTTCTTCCATTTCACCAGAACGTTATTGTTAAACGTACTAAAGACTAATACGTACGCTTAATTAATTATTGAGTAAGCACGTTGGTCGAGGATTCACAATCGTTGCAGGGTACAATTAATCGAATGATAAAAATGTCAATAATTAAAAAATAAAGAAACACAACATCGTTTTCTTTTTAAGTGCTAATTATAATTAACAACGCGTTCAATGCGAACGACACAAGTGGCGCGTAATTTACGTTAACGACATCGAACGCAGTACGTTTCATGCCTATTCTCCTAATGAATTATGATATTTTTAGCGCTTCATACTTGGAATTTGATGATAGCAACAAATCACAAAGATTCCATTTGGGGTACAATAAGACAGTGCTCGGAATTAGATGCATATTTTGGGCCGATTTCTAAAGTGACTATTCCCCACTGCTCGAAGTCTGACTGCAGAGCCGCCGATTGCGTATGCTGTATCGAAAGCGTCACTACATGAAATACATACTGAAATATATCTTCGCTAAATTATTATCAAAAGATTTTCTTTGCTAAATAATTTTTATTTTCGTAAATAATTAAACGCTAAATTTCCTATTACTAATATAAATTAGTAAAAAAAACTATTTGTATAAGAATATTAATTTAATCTGCTGAATTATTTGCACTGCTACGGATGATATGTCCACAAAGATTTTGCAAGTTTTTGCATTAACAAGGATAACAATACATCGCTCAAAGGACTTTTTTTGTTATTCAAATTGGTTATTTTTTCTGACTTCTTGCTCGTTTCTATATAAAATTTTGCTTTCTTGCCGAGCTACATATTTTATCATCTTCTTCACTATTTTTTAGTGAAATATAGGAGGCCTACTGAGAGAACCACTAAAAAATACATCAATAATAGTACCTCACAACTGATGCAAAAAGCTAGTATCAAAATTTTAATTAATACTATTATTATTACAAGTATATCATAGAACATATATTGCAATGTTCATTCGGAAAGTTCGGAAAGTGCATATTTTCCGATAGGGTTATTTTCTTCCCTTATCAGATTTATGTAAAATGAATAAAACTCAATTGATTCAAATGCTTTTTAAATAACGCATTGAAATATCACTTTCTAGAATACGTATGTATGTTATGTCATAGGTTAAAGTCATGCACGTCATAGATACACATATTTCAACGCTTCTTGGAAAACCCCACACAAACTTTCCGAACAAAGCAATATAATACATTAATAACAAAAAAAAAGGGATTAGTATCTAATTATTTATGAGAATAAAAACTATTTAGCAAAGAAAGTTTCAATTGGCGATTTAGCGAAAAATACAATCCCAGCGTATTTCTCATCAGATATGCTCCTGAGGCACAGCGTCACTCGGGTGATTGATGGCTCGACCGTCGAGCTCCAAGTGGTAGCGGGGAATAGTAGGCATCGTCTTAGAAATCGGTTCGAAATGTAATTCCGAGCACTGCAATAAGAAATTAGTCGTGAAACCTCTAATCGAGTATAAAATAATCAACAGTCTTTAGGTCAGTTTTCATTATTTGTATAATGAGAGGGTATGCATATGTAGGGTATATGCATATGTAAGTAGAAAATTATATATATACCTACATATATGTTTTTCAATACATAAACCTATGTATATTGAAAAAATAATAGTCGCATATATCATTGACTATGATTTTAGCATATACACAATGGCTAGCGAATTTATGTTTTGTGATACACAATTGGTTTTTTACCGTCGTGTTTTTAAAATAATGAATAATGAATGCAAAAACGTAGGATCAGTCGACAGAGGGTCAGCTCGTTAATCTCTAACTCTTTATCTTATAAATATATATAAGAAGGAAAGAATGTAACCTAAATGAAAACTTGGAAGGAACTGCAAAAAGATGTTAATCGATTTTTATCGCTTGGTCATACAGCATCGTAGAACTTGTGATAAAATATTGCAATTGTATAGAATGCGTTTGTGCGATATTACGCGTTAGAATCGACGTCCTTCTCCATAAATGGAAAAGCAGATATTTATATATACAGTATTAGTTTTTCTATACTTGTCACAGAGCGGGGGACATTATAAAGTTTTAAATATCAAACACAAAATGAAGAGAAAAAGTTCAGAGAGTAAGTCACAAATATTGTAAATATATGTATATATTATAAAAATGATGTTCTACGACACTGCGAACAAACTTTTAAACAAATATTATCAGTCTATTAACTTTCAGTCTAAACAATAAAAAGACCATCAGGAGTATAAGAATAAATAAATTATGAGAAATCATTAAAGCCTTGTATCTCCCTACGTTAATATCATTTTTATAAACTGCGCTGCGTGTAATCCGTTTTGTTTTGCTGCCATCTTAAAATCGAATGACTTTCGCTAATAAACGATGATCCAAAAATATGTATTAATATATGATCCAAAAGGAACAAGATGTGAGGAAACGTTATACGGCAATAAAATCTACTAAACGTATTTAAAAAAAAAAGGAAAAGTAAATTTATATGTGCCTATAGCAGCAAACATATTATTGTAAAAGAAACTATAAAAGGCACTCTCTATGTGTATACAACCGTGAAGTTTGTTTAAAGTAATTTTAAATAAAATAATTTATATTAAAATATAATAAAAATATTTCCGTGAAAATCAAATTCTTACTCCTTTTCCATTTTTTCCCCTCATTATTCTCATCATTAGTTTCATTATACCGTTACTGCAGTTGCATCTGTGGTCGTCCAAAAAAGTATGTATCTACATACAGTCATATCTCGCTTATCATTATAAGTATGCATTCCGCGAAGTAGTTACTTCCAGTAAATCGATGTTAAACATTTTAACATAAAAAGAGTAGGACTACATTCTGGAGGTACAAATTCTGAATATAAAATCTATAAATTCCACTTCCGCGTACATATTACTCGAGAGAAAACCAATTACGTTTTAGTGGGACAGCGTTCCGAGGGGAAACGTGAAGCGAGATGTGACCGTACCGCAATTGCATCTGTGTTTGCGTAAATTATAATATATATTAATTACTGTAATTTGGTATGTGGACACTTATAAATCGTTATCGTAGGGTAGAATATAAACGATAGAGAAAGACGAGACAAAATCAATTTTGTCTGTAATATCATTTGCGGCAAGGATACGAGCATTAAAATTTTGCGGCGTGTCTCTCGAGAATTAACAAGCGCATCCTGCACGAGGCCGCAAGTATATAAAATTATCACGCCTATATGCTTACACGTACGCTATATATGCATGGTAAAAAAAATCGTACTCGCTTGAGATTTCGTATCGGCTATTGCAATCCGTTCTAAATGGTTTCACTCTTATTTGGGGATTAAGGCAATCTTGTTTGTTCAAAAGTGGCCAAGATTTCAATGTGATTTTTTGCATTGATAATTCGACAGTGTACAAATATATCCATTATAAATACTATCATAAAGTACTGTATAAAAATGTATGTATGTGTGTGCGTGCGTGTGTGTGTGTGTGTGTGTTGCACAAAATATCCAGTATAAAAATTATTTTTTTTTCGTAGAAAATATTTTACTTCTAGACTATCGAAATCTTGGCAGTTTTACGCGCGAGAATATATAAGAGATCGCTCGGTACGTGATGTCAAAGGCTGTGTTTGTTTCGCTTTTTCATAAATTCCGTCAAGTCGGCCTTTAAATGCAAATGCAAACGAAAATGTCGAAGAGGATGCCTTTAAGAATCTCCAGGTTACCCTGCGGTTTACCATGAGCCAGAGAATCGCTAGAATTCGTGCCATGACTCAGTGCGTCCAGATCGTCTCTGGTTATCCATTCTATATAGCGTTCGCATTTCTCCGCTCCGATGGCGTTCTCCAGAGATTGCAAACCGTCCGTACGGCCCACGTGTTGCAGATTCTGTAAGTACAGTCTGCCAAGTTGGCTAATGGAATATCCGATTTCTAAGCTGTCTTTATTGCCGCTCAAAGTTTCCTGGGTGGCGACACTCGCCACGGGATCCAGAAGTCTCGACTGCACCAGTTCGGCAGCATTGGTAAGACTATCGGATCGCACTGACGACGGTTTGCTCGCGTCCAGATTACTCTGTTTCATATTCCTTTCTGCGGCGTTGGTGCTTAAAAGATTACTTGCGTTTGCCGTCACACGAAATGTACTCTCTTCGAGCTGCACGTCTTTGGGACAATCGATGGATTTTGGTACAACTGCGATATCGAGCTCGTCGAAAGAACCGAGATTGAACTGAACGGGAGCACGATCGGTTAGCACGTTTGGTGCGCGCTCAAAAAAATCAACGTCCTTCTGGCGCCTCTGTAAAAAATACTCGCACTTCTCCTGATCGGTCTGAGGATACTGGCTGTTGATCGGGCGCTCTTCCCGTTTCAAGAGGTCCTGACGTTTCTCGCGCTCCCTGGGTAAAAAATGCAGACTTCTACCAACTCGTTGAAAGAAATTGGGCCGCTTACGCGCTTTGTCCATCGCCATTAAATCGAAGGACTTTTTAGCCGACTTTTGCGACGAATCAAGACTCCTCTGTTTGCCATGGAAGAAGGTCTTCGATCGCTCTTCCGGCAGAAGATCCAGACTCTTACAATCAGCGGTAGGTAGATCGATGCTCCTTTCGAGCGACTCTAAGCTTCTGTGTGTTTTCTCCTTGTTACGAAAAGAGAAATTTCTGCGTTTGTTAGTGGAAGCTTCCTGCAACAACTCGTTACTGCTCTTCTTAAAAATCTCACCCTCCTTCTCGAGGAACTGGATGTTTCCCGAGTCGCGACGCGTCTCGTACGCCGTAGTGAGACGTCGCGTACCGCCCATCGTTGGACCCTTGAGCTTTCTGTCGCCGTTGTAATCGCCATAATTCTTCTCTTTATCCGGGCCACCAAAGCAATTCATCGAGCTTGAGGTCGCCGCGGCATCATCCCTCTCGTCCGTTACCGGTCGAGTGCAATTTGAACCACCTGTCCCTAGATCCTTGAACATCACGACCTCGCGATCTACGTCTTTCTCAGTTTTATGCCCATGAAAAAAATAACTCTGTTTATCGAGCTGACGGGACGCCGTGTTCGGACTCCTCTCGCGCGTTCTACTCATCATCGATTGATAATAGTCGCGCGACGTAGCAGCGGGATTTAAATCGGCGGTACGATTGGGACCTAATTCGCGGCTACGTCCTAAATTGAGACCGGTCAGGTCTAGAGAAGCCGCCACGTCTGGTTCTCTATTACCCGGCGTGGTCGACTTGAATGTACTGAATTGACATGGATGTGCCACGCGTGTCGCGACGACGGCAGCAGCAGCAGCGGTCTCATTACAGCCAGGCGCGGGCTGTTGCAAATGTCCGATTGTCACATTGCGTTGCGTCTTACGTTCGGCAATAGCGAAATTCTGTTGGCTTGCGCAGAATTGTTGGTAGAATTGTATTTTACCTTGAAGATCACTCTTGTCCTGATTGTCCTGGTCGCCACGAGTCTCCATCTCGCGTTTCTGCCGGATTGCTCGCAGACTAGCATTCGGTCCAAGCGTCGGGCCTACCGTCGCCACGGACGCGTTCGGCAAACATTGCCGCGTGTAAGGTCTGAAATCGGAAAGAAGTGTAACTTTAGAACAATAAACAAATAAGGATAATAATCGCGTACAAATGAAATATTCGGTACATTATAAAAATAGAGACTGCATAACATCAAACGAAGTATATCATTGATATAGGAGACCGCGAGGCAATTTAACAGCATTTAAAAAGCTGCAATTCCTCCAGTCATTTTTGAAAAGGTTACATTTAAGACTTTAATGAGAATAGACGTATATGTTAAATGGAAATTAAATAAGAAAGTTAAACAATAACTACTAAAAAGAATTTCTGCAAGGTACATTTTATTACTCAATGTTGTTCAAAGTGGCCATTTCTCAATTCATTGCCCCAGACGCTAAAAATAGAGCACGCTTGAGAGCAATGAAATGACCACGCTATTTATAAACATGAAAAGACGGTATGGCGTGAAGATGTCGTCACTAACGGGCGTCAGTTTAGTGCCTAAGAATTTTTTAGAACAAACGAGCGTTCTTTACGACTAAAAAAACCCCCATTGACCAACCTTGATCGATGTTCCTGATCATTATTGGTCCCGGAAGGTAGCGCCGCATTAGACGGTTGCGAATGCATGGGTGCTTGTTGCGCGGAGGGTAACGTCGGTTGTCTCGCGTTGCCAAACTTCAGCATATTCCAGTCAAAAACATAGTCATAGGTAAAGCCCTGACCATGGAACAACGTTCGGAAAAGTTGTCGGAGATGCGAGTAGTCCGGCCTTTCCTCGAAGCGTAAGTCTCGACAGTACCTTAAATACGATGCGAACTCCACTGCAATAATTAATAAAATGTTTCTTTACTATAAAGTCGAGAAATTTGTTAGATAAAGACTGCAAAATGTATATACAGTACCATCACTGCAACGACAGATTCTGTGGTTGCTTTAAAGCCAATTTGTTAGAAATTTTGCTTGACAAAGTTGCTAAGACATCGGTGATCTTTGAGTTATAAACGATTGGAGAACTTTTGCAGACTAAATTTCGAAAAAGAACCACATGAATTATAAAACTATATTAGTCGGATTAATTTCTCTCGAATAAAGTTTCCTTTCAGAGATTTTAATTTAAGATGTAGTCAATTATAAATATGCAACGCAAAAAAAAGTAGAAAGTTCCAGTAAATCTGCCTGAACAGTTTCACCAAGAAAATTAATTCCAATTTGGCCAAAGAAAAATCATTAAAAGAATATCCAGAGGTTTTGAATTGTTTTCCATATACAAAGACTTACCAGGATAACCCTTGCAAAGTTCTTCTACAGGAGTGGACATTTTCTTTTCGGAAATGCGCTCGTACTTTTGTCTCTTAGTTGCCGCTTTCAATCCCTGCCAAGGTAGACTACCTCTATTAAAGTACATGAGGACATAGCCCAAAGATTCGAGATCGTCTCGACGCGACTGTTCGATCCCCAAATGCGTATTTATACTTGCGTATCTGCATTATAGCGAGTGAGAATTAGTCAAAATAAGAATATAGGGGAAAGTTCCTTATTATGCGATAGGCTCCTAATACGAGATAGCGGAGTTTCGGCTAAATTAATAAGCATCTGTTGGTTCCACCATGAATTTGTTGCCCTTGGAGTGAAATCTGTTTAGTGGAAAACTGATTGTTAGATCGTGTAATCGTTGCGAAAACATGATTTGCGATTGAATTTCGACGTTGAAAACCTGCTATCTCATATTAAAATCCTACTTGAAAATAGAGAACTTTCCTCTGATACCACACAACTACCAATACAGCTAACCTAGCAGTTCCCGTCAAATTCTTGTTTTCTCTGTAGGGTATGTGTTTGTGTGTGCGCCCGTCACGATACTTTTTAGCCAGTCCGAAATCTATAATGTAGACGAGGTTCCCCTTCTTCCCCAGACCCATCAGAAAGTTGTCCGGCTTAATATCACGATGAATGAAGTTGCGACTGTGAATGTAATCTGTTCTACTTATCTGCAGAATAGAAAAGTTAAAGCACTGTTATTATAACTGTACACTGTGTCTCACATGCGCGTGTTTCATGCCTCAAAGATTATATGCAGAGATACAAATAAACTGTTTATTCAGTGTTTTGCTTGACAGTATATATTGCATAACACTTGCTAAACTAATAGCATTGTTCCTTTTGTGCACCAAGTGTATGGATTTTTTTTTTCAAAGTTTGCATAAAACTAACTACCTCTATCCCTTGTTAATTTTTAATCAACATTTTCAATAACATTAAAAAATATATATAAATAAGTACGCATAATTACTTATCATGTAATTATATGTGTGTGTGCGTGCACACACACACACACACTATTATTTATAAAAAAAACTTACTTAGAAATATTGTAAAAAAATGTTAACATTACATGCTGACATATTTCTTGCAACTGAATAATACAATAGTTAAGACAATGTCTCTTTTAAGATAAGAAAGACATGTTATGTACAGCCTTGGCCAAAAATATTTGCCACCTAAGTGTAACCTCAGTAACTTTAAATTATTTTACATTCAAGTTAAATAAACAATACCAGTTGATGACTTTCAGTCCTTTTTTAACGATGTATGGTGTATCTCATAGTACTGTGTCTTTTATTTTTCCTTTCGCAAAAAGTAATTGTACTTTCAAACGTTTAGCTAAATCCAATTGGCACGTTTTCGGCATTTTTTTTGTAGCAAAACAATATTATTCTTTAGAGTAAGTCGGTACAAGTTGGAGATTATTAAGCAATGTGGACACTTCGAGCGTCCACGGTGAACTAAATACAAGCAAAATTCAAGTTTAACGTTACTACTATAAACGTTTCGCGACACTTGTCCTTGCGCGTTTATGATGCGATGCTTTGTTTAGGTAATTCAATTTAGCGCGCCGATGCGTAACAATATACAAAATAGTTGATTAAAGTCAAAGGAAGCTACTTTTCTAAAGGCCTGTGTCCACGATGCTAGAACTTGGTCCAAGTTCTAGTTTCGAGAAACGTGTGGCCAATCAACTTGCAGCTATTCCATAAAAGCTGCACATTGATTGGCTACGCATTTCTTGGAACTAGAACTTGGACACAGTTCTTGGAACGTGGACACAAGGCTTAAGAACTGAGGGGGCGGCAGATACTTTTGGCCGAGGCTGTATATGAATGATTCTTGAAAGGAATGGTATACAATGATCCGCTGCAAAATGAAGTAATGAATATAATCGCAATATGAACTTTGAACACATGGTGAAGTATTTGGTGAACATCCTGCATGAATACACTGAAGGAGACCCATATAAGCGGAAAGTTATCTGTCTAGCCTTTTATCTCAGAGTGCAGCCTCGGACGTAACATAAGATTTTCTGTTTAACGACGTATAAATGAAATAATTACACATCAAAACCGAGATCCTAATAAAATAAAATGCAGTTTTCATTATCAATCAAAGTGCCTGTTAAATTAATCGCGCGAGCGATTGCGAAAGTTGCAAAAACCCTAGAAACGCAGTATACTTCTCGAAACTTCACGTTGGAGCAATGCTATCTCGAACGGAGCAACTTGATTGAAAGGCAAATCATTGAATTTATGTTCGCATCGCGACAGGTGAAGTGAATTGTTACGATAAAAATGTCTATTTACCAATTGATCGGCGAGGAGCAGGACCGTTTTCAGAGAGAACCGTCTTGAACAAAAATTAAATAGATCTTCCAGCGATGGTCCAAGTAACTCCATCACCATCACGTTGTAGTCACCTTCCGATCCACACCATTTTATAGTCGGTATCCCAACTGGAATATCAAGAGTGAGGATTATGCTACGATAGTGCAAGTCGCACGACACACACACGACAGGACTGAATAATTTTACGTTAGAATAAAGAGCATTTCTTTGTGGTCTTTCTTTGAAAAATGTTGTTGATTTTCATCGGTCGACCAATCGACCGGCGATCGTTGGAGCGGCTAAAAATTCGTCCCCTCAATCGTAATCTCTGTCGTGGAATTACTGAACCTATTTATTTTGATACGCTAACGTTGGGAAAAGGCGCGCAGGCAAGTGGACATTAGTCGTGCAGCTGCGCGTCGTACCGGCGTGAGAAAAGATATTGGATCAGCTGTCGAGCAAACGAGAACATTCCGGATACAGGCTCCCGGTGCAGAATAAACATTTCAATTGATACGCATAGAAATATCGATCTACTTACCGCCGCCCTGCATCATCTTGTAAAACTTGGACTCTATGTGCAGCTGCGGGTGCCGCGTTTTTATGCATTCTAACTTGATGGCGACTTCCTCGCCCGTGGAAATATTGGTACCTGCGAAATAAAGAAACGGCTCCAGAGGGGGGCTTCGTTTACGCGCGTCGACGCGACGCGAGGCCCGTAGGACAAAAGAGGGACGAGCGGAGAAAACGCGAGACGGTACGGGAATAACGGGACGAGGGGGAAGAGGAGGGGGAGGGGGAGAAGAAGGGGAGAAAAGTGGGGAATAACCATGCGAGTTGACGCACGCGAGTTTCACGCTCTCCCGCGCGGAATACAGGAAAAGCACAAAATCCACTGTGTACGAACGCGAGAGTGAACGGAGGCGCGGGGGAGGGGGAGGGGGAGGGAGAGAGAGGGCGAGGGCGACGGGGAGGGGGGGGCCGAGCTTGACGAGGAAAACTCGCGCGGGCATGCGGCCGACGAGCGGTGGCGGCGGGGGGGAGGGGGAGGGGAGTAGGAGGGCGAAAGGGGAGCTTACCTAGGTAAATGTCGCCGAAGGAGCCGCTCCCGATTTTCCGTCCTAGCCGGTACTTGTTACCAACGCGCAGCTCCATCGTACACAAAAGGCCGCGCGGCGCACCCCGACAGAAGTATCACGATCGCGGTCGCGGTCACGGCGGCGGCGGCGAGGCGACTAAATACATACGCCGACCCAGCGTAGGGTAGGCAGCGCGGTGCAGCAGCAGCAGCAGCAGCAGAGCAGCAGCTGACCCGACGTGAGCGTGGAGTGACGCGATGATGCTCGCTCTCGCACGGCGACGTACGCGCGTTGGACTGGGCTCGTACGCTCGTGTTACTGGCTCGATGGCGGTGATACCTCCATGCTCGACGCACAGGAACCCGGACTGATCGATCTCGTATCTACGGGCATTTCTTCGTGGCGAGTCGCGGCGGAACGGAATAGCGCACCTCGTTGCGATGGCGGTCGCGCTGATGGTGGCGGCGCTACGCTCGCGCTTGTCCGTCGCTTTTGCCGTTGTGTGTTGACGATGGTTGACGACGACGCTGCTGCTGCTGCTGCCAGGCAAAACGGGGGAGAAATTACGGCGGGGACAACGGCACCGAGAGATTTTGCGGCCCCCGCACAGGGGGCGATCGACCAGTCGTGGCGAAAGTCGAATGAACGTATCGCGCGCGGAAACGTCGTCGACAAACTGCGGCGAGCGGCGGGACAGGGAGGAGGATCGAGTCTTGTCAGTCTTGTGGCGAATGTCGATCCGATTGCACGAGCACGCGCGACGACCAATGGGAGCGCGCGTCGCGACACGGCATCTGCCCGCGGCGCCCAAGCGAACGGGTGACGACAAGGCACGACCGAAGATGCACCAATCGCGACAGCGCCTCCCCCCCCCCCCGCAACATTAAAGATGCTTTCCAGTAGGTCCTACATTATACCAATAAAGCCTCGTCTACATAGAAGTCGTAAAGTCGTAGTCGTAATGCGTGGTCTACAATGCGAGTCGTAGTCGTAAGAATAATCGACTATGATTGGTCAATTCTTAAGCCTCCGCTACAATGGCCGCGTTCAGCAGACACAACTGTTGAGTGAGCGCTCAGTATGATTGGTTAATACTTTTAGATCCAGCCAATCATATTAAGGATCTAAAAGTGTTAACCAATCATACTGAGCGCTCACTCAACAGTTGTGTCTGCTGAACGCGGCCATTGTAGCGGAGGCTTTATCGAGCGACTACAGCCTATCACACAATGCGAGGCAACAGGCAACAGGAATAGGGAATAGAATTTTTGACGCGTTGGATTCGTCGGAAATTTTCCTTCAACCAATCCAACGCGTCAAAAATTCTATTCCCTATTCCTGTTGCCTGTTGCCTCGCATTGTGTGATAGGCTTACGAATACGACCATTGTAGACAGAACCGAGAATCATTGTAGCGGAGGCTTTAATTGGTCAATTCAGTCAGACACATAAGAATTAACCAATCATAGTCGACTATTCTTACGACTACGACTCTGAAGGCCCACACACAATGCACCAGGCAACAGGAACAGGGAATAGAATTTCTGACGCGTTGGATTGGTTGGAAGAAAATTTCCGACGAATCCAACGAGTCAAAAATTCTATTCCCTATTCCTATTGCCTGTTGCCTGGCATTGTGTGATAGGCTTGAGACTCGCATTGTCCCTCATATACAACTACTACATATACACACTACTCATATAAAACATCCGTCTCATTGGCTCCACCAAAATAATGGCGGATGCTCAGAAAGGATCGGCGCAGAACGGAACAAATGACAGAGTCGGCATACTAGTTATTCTATGGTGAAACTATGGTAGCAGTCTAGTAGTATTTAGAAGTCTGCGTTTAGAGTTCGGCCT